AAAATGAAGTACAATGTCTCATGAGTCATGAATGGATATTTCTCTCCCTGACGCTTTGTTGCTGGGTGGCAATTCGTAAGATGTAATGTTGTTTTTCAGATCTAAAGCTCATATATTGCTCAGATGAGCTCATAGTCATCAGCCCATTTTCTACTGTAAGAAAGAGTTGTAATTTTACTAAATGTTTTACAAAATGGTCAGATGATTTTAGGCCAGGGTGGCATTGAGGGCGTCAGGCCGTTGTGTCCTTGGGCAAGACACTCTACCCGCATTTGCTCCTCTGGGTAATGTCCACAGTATTGACATTTACATGTCTAATATGTGTAATATGTAATTGTAAAGCGCTTTGAGCACCTGTAAAAGCGCTCTAATTAAAAAATGTAATCCTTTATTATTATTATTATTATTAAAAATGGGTAACATATACTTCATTGTTCCTGATACGGCCACTGACTTATGTTGCATGTCATCCAAATTAATAAATAACTCCAAAACATATTCAACTACATATACGTATATGTGCATGTTGCCTTACAGACCGATTGGAAGGTCAGTTCAAGTAGGTTCAAGACCATAAACCTGCTTTTTACAGGTAATACCTGCTAAACATTGACATGTTAGCATTGTCATTCTGCTAATGTTAGCATTTAGCTCAAAGCACAACAGTTGTGCTTAAAAACAGCCTCACATCGTGGCTGTGTAGACTCTTAGTCTTGTTTTAACATATTCAGGAGAATAAAGTCAAAACTTCTTCACATGTTATTCTTATTTACTCTTTTAACTGGTAGTCCTAATTACACAGTGAAGTAAAAATAGGTAGTACTTGTCATTGCATGCACTCAAATGACCTTTAGTTTAAGACCTCTCATGTTGAAGATTGCTACTTTTGCTACAGTAAATGTAACCTGCGGTTAGCGTTCTACAGCACTTTAAGGTCATCATTAACTGAATCTTTGAAACCCTGTGTTTTACTTTCTCACCACAGACCTGCCCAGCTTCCCCAAGCAGTGCCATACAGAATAAACAGGGTCACAATAGTGACCGGTGTGCAGCATCCCTGAAGCCCTTCCTCGGGCTGGTGACAGCTTGTTTTCTGAGCCACGGCTTCAGCACTGAGAGAGCAGAGGGCCCCTAATGATCAGCTTTTAGTGCTGGCATAGGTCGGCTGATTAAGCCATCAGGCATCATTAGACCCTGCTGGCAAAAACAATCTCTCCAATCTCATTGGTGCTCCCAAACAGGAGAACTCTTTGAGAGAAAAACATCAGAGGACACTTTAGCTTGTGTGGTGTGTCAGGAATACTTTGGTCAGGAACAATGAGGTAACATTCAGCGGTCAAAGACCCTCTACTTCTGATGATGTAGCTCTTTATGATGCCTTTGAAAAGCATAATTCATGTAATATGAGACACCTGGTTGTCAGGTGCTTGCTAAAACTATTCTTTAAAAAAACAGAAAGCAAGGGCTGATCAACAGCAGGAAGACATGGCATCATAATACTTTCAACTAAACAGAGGAGAGGCCCTTAAAAGGTCCTAATGATCTTTCTGCAGACACAGCGACAGGTCCATTATTCCTACTAGGCATGTCCATTTTTAAAAGTGGTGACTTATATATTTATTTTACTTCAAAATGCCTCAGCTAGTCTGTGGATACAACCTCTCTCAAATGTCACAACTAAACAAATTGAGCCGGGCTGACAGAGATGAATAAGGCTGCTGCAGGCGCTGTGTCCAGAGTCTCTGGGTTAATAAAGTACAAGTACTACAGAATGTACAGATCTTCCATCTTTGGTTTTTCAAATAAAGCATGTACACTGACTGTATAATGTATCACATCAAAATGCATAAGGGTATGATGAGTGTTTTTCATAGCCAAGATGTCAAATTAATGTGGCTATGTTGTATAGTATAGTTCAAATGTACTCAGTATTTGGTTACACAACACATCTGTTGTCAATTTATCAGCTGCAGTAATTATTCAATGTTATGTAAATCATTATTTATCAGCATAATGTAACTCTTTGTTGATAGAGTTTTTTGTAGAGAGAAGACAGCCCTTTCTTTTAGCGGGGGTCTCGACACAACATGTCTCTAACACCTTTCCTCAGAAGCATTAGCAGAGTGCTCCGTGTTAATTTGGCCTGTCTTGACGATCAAGGCCAGGTTAAAGAACCATTTGACGTTAAGCGTTTTAAAATTCTCACTGAGGGATGAAAAATGAGTTCTGACACATCTGTGAAACACAGAGACAAACAGGGACCATGTAGAATTCAATGAGGAAGCTTATAATGAAGGTAGGTCTAACATGTATTGTCTCTACAACTAACATTTATATTACAAATAGTGTTTTGACTAAATGTTCATATAAAAATATTGATACACAAATATTAATAACAAATACACACATCAACAAAAGTTTAAAAGTGAACTTTGAAGTCGTTTTTTCTCCTTATAAGGAGCTCCAACAAAATGGAAGTCTTTGTTATTTTCATACACCAGCACATATGAAGTCACATTTAAATTTGAATTACACAGTTAAGCCTGAGCACTCCTCTACGTACTCCTTCACATCAAAAGGAAAGCCAATAAAATGCTTTGCTTGCAGGCATCAGCTTTGATGTTTGCTCCTCTGCTTGCTCATTTGAGCCCGGAGGCATGAAGTCAGGAGTGGACAGCACCTCTACTGACATCGTTTTTTTATAACCTCAGCCCCAGATGTACTGATTGGCATCATAGGCTGTTTTTTTCGTAGCAGCATATGATTCTCTATTCTTCAGAATTATTATTTATTTACAGTCTAGTTATTCTCCCACATGCTGTAAGTCTAAAATATGTCATTTTGATAGGGAGCTTTTTACTGCGTACGAATTAAAGATACTAGGTGATGAACTGTAATCAAGTAAGCCCACAGGAGCCTTTGTCTGTTCAGCATCGTTAACGCGAGCGGCGGAGAAGACTTCACAGCGGTTGCGAGAACATATAATTACATTGCTTAGAAATGTGTGGAACTGTAACTCACCATCAAGGGGTGTTTTCATGAGATTATGCAGCCTTGTTCAATAAAAACTAGGATGGATCATTGAAGGGCTCTTTTCACTGCCTATAAAGGGAGAAAATGTCATCACCGTTGCCTTAAAATTCCCACCTGAACATGAATCAGCACTGTGAACCTATGTTAACTCAAGTCTTTACACCTGTGAAACAAGCATATTTATGAGCCATCATCTCCTATTCATCCTGTTCAGGAAGATAATAAGACAGTTACCCAGTCGAGGTATGACTAAACTGAGTAGGATTTCTATGGATCATTATTGTAGGTTATTTAAGAATTCTCACATTTCACTTAAGATTTTAATTTTATGATTGCATAGTGCCATATAATGTGGATAAATTACTGCAGGCAGTACACTTCAACACGAATATCCACAGAGTGTTGTATCATTTTATCTTTTCAGATCTATTGCCAGCTTTTTTCTCATAAATTCACCATGAACCAGTAATATGTAAACTTCATGCCCTACACTTGTCACAGGGGAAAGGCCAAAATGTGCTTTACAAATGTTAAAAATAAGAACATGAAAACAGTCAAAAGTGACTGCAATTTTTTAATAATCTACAACACATTTAGACACACTAGAAAAGCACAAAGGAGCAAAAAGGCCAGTTCAAAACAAGTAAGTTAGTGTACAGAACAAAGGCCAGACAGTATGAGTGTATGCGTGAATATATTATGCAAGTCATTTGTATAATGATAGAAACTGCTATTATGATGATATGCCTTTTGCTTTCGTGATTCAGCAGTCAGCCTTTAAGTGTTGGTAATTTGTTTGTTTTGTTGTTTGTTTTTGCTCAGCGGTGTGATTGGCCATCTTTTCACAGCTATTTAAAAAAACATTAGTAATTTGAACTGCCTCAAACAGCAGGATATTTCACCCGCATAATTTCCCTCATGTTATCCATCAGTTCACTCCTAGGGACTGTGGACCCGGTTAGAAAGTCAATATTTGATTGTGTCCAGCACCTACTCCACTCCCTACTGCAGTAAGTGGTTAAAAAACACACATATCACAACGGTTGTACATGCCAGAAGGACTGAGAGAGCGTGTGGTAATTGTAGTGTGACTGATTGAGGGCCGACGCTTGGTTTTTGTTGAAGCAAGAATCGAAAACAGGGTTGATAAGGTCACACAGAAAACACTTCATTATCGCAACATGCACTACCAGTCGTGTTTGTGCATTTAAAATCAAACAGTGAGGTCTGATTAGTTTCAACCGTACACCTTATTTACATTTAGATTTTGTTTTAATGTTTTATTTTACGTGTTTTCACAATCCAGACTATGTACTCTATCTGCTGCTGTTCCTGACAGCGTTGAGTGAATACAGGGGTCTCTTCTAATTTATTTACTTTTCCATCTTACTGACATGTTTAACAACCTGTGATAAGTCACTGAAGCATCTCCCAGAGCTTGTGACTAGGAATTAATAAGGGCCACAGTCTGGTTACTACTAAAACATGTACAAATGTGTGAACTAAATCATATTTATATGTTTAAATATTTGTTTTGTTTACTTATTTATCTATAAAGTATCAATTCATTTTTGTCATTTGGTTATTTATATAAAAACAGTAATAAGCCAAAATTGTGCCACTTTTTATGGTAATAGTTTTCCAAATTGGAATATTAAATGTTGGCTTACGCAATATTTATTTCCCCGTGAGTATTTATTTTGCCAGAATAAAGGAGATGCACACATTACAAGCTGCGCTCTGTTACCTTGTAAGATCGAGACTGGAAAAAAGTGGCTTTCACTGTAGGAAGTTACATTTGTCTGTGCATTGTACCATTTACAATGTTGCTTGATTTTGAGTATATATTTAAATATTCACCCTTAAATATTTCCACAATTTCTTTGTATTAATTGTATAATAAAATATGACCTTTTCCCTATTAGGTATATTCTCGAAATAAATAAACTGTGATAACGATCCCAAATGATATATCCATGCTTTATTGTTTACCCTGAAAGAAACAGCTACATACATACATACTGTACATACGTACATACATACATACATTGTATACATAAATAGATACATAAATAATTAATATTCAAACAGACACTGTCACTGTGTCAGTGAAGTCCATCGATGCTGCATGTCTGACAGGTGTAGATGTTATGTACAGCTGAGGTCTACTACAGTTCATGTGGAGCTGGCAGGGAAGGAGTACAGGAGGCGATGTGGACACTGTTAGCAGGAGGTGAACGTTTTCCAGAAGAAGTTTTTACAGGGGGCTTTACGGTCACGCTGCGGCAGTGATAGCCTGTTGTAGACGGCCCTCTCCTCCAGACGGGACTCCAGCGGCTCCTCCAGGTCCAGGGGTCCGGCCTCCTCCGGCAGCATGTTGGTGTCCAGAGCTCCGTCCAACAAGCCCGACACCAGCTTCAGGATCAGCTCCTTTCGCTCCTTACTCAGCTCCTGACCAAAAATCTGAAACATATCACAATCATGTGAAAATGTAAAATCTTGTGATCTTGGGTATTATCATTTTTTTTAAGAGGCTGAATAAAAGACTGTATGAACTTTATAATAGGTTAATAAAATGTTCTTGGAAAATATATTTGTATTCCAAATAAATTCTTTAAAATAAAAAAAAAACTCAAAATATCAAACTATTTATTTTTGACGATTTTAAAAATAATCTGGATTTTACCGTTATTATTTTTAAAACTTAAAAAAATTTCCCTACAAAAAATTGTCAAATCTATCAATAATAACTTTTAAAAACAAGAAATACATTTTGTATGAAGTATACAACAACATTTTCCTCACCCTGTTCAGATGGATGGAGCTCCTGTCCTCCACAGGAAGCACGGAGGCTGCTCTAACACTGTACAGGACCCCCATGAGAGCTGCTAACACCACCAGGAGCTGCATGCTGTGAGAGGAGTGCAGTTGACGGAGCAGATCTAAAGCCAAAAGAGCAGGAGGCTCACAGAGATGGGAGAATGAGGGTAAGAGAGAGAGAGGGAGAGTCTGAGCAGCTCAGAGATCCAGAGGAGACTGGTGGAGAAAGTGCAGCGCGGCTGGTGGTCACCACTGATGATTCTTCTGCTCTACCTCCAAAGTCCCTCACCCTTTTATACCCCTTTCTGCCACTGACGTACAGTGTGGTGGGTGGATGATAGGGGGTGTATGTGTGAGTGGGTTTAGGGGTGTTTTTGTGAGTGTGGAAGAGGAGGGGAGATGAACGGTTCAGGACAGAACAAATGGAAGCGTCGAACACTTAACCTTTTTGACAAATTGTGAACATCTGCAGAGGGCGAAGACGTCATCGGGCTAAAAGCAGGTTTTGACGTCAACATGTCACTAATGTATTGACAGTTATGAAAGACAATCTCAAACAAGATCTCTTCAGGTGGTGAATGGACAATTCCATAACTCATCAACCGCCCCAAACACTCTCAACTGGTAATTTCCCTTAAGTAGCAATCAAAAAAATCCCAAAGCAATACAAATGGACCACAAGCTGACTTGTCATTGTTATCTCAGTATCCCCTTGTATAGCTCAGTGCATCTGATTCCTGTCACAGTGCCTCTACGAGCCTCTCTGACACCTGCAGATTACAATTGAACGGTCTGACACTTACTAAGACTGAGGAAGTGCCTTCAGGAAATGTATCCACCTTAGCGGAGTAAACACAGTTGGTAAAAAGAAGAAGGACCAATTAATTTTGCTTTTCTGAATCGAACAATGGATTTTGTTCAGTTACCATCAAATAAAAAACTGTATCCCAACTAGTTTTACAAAACAAAAAATATGTCTGTACTCTCGTCTAGCAAGCCACAACGACTGTGAAAGTACAATAATTATAATTTAAATGCACTATAGCTGCAGCTCAATTAAATTCACACTATATTCTAAGCTGTTTGGATTAGTGAGAAATGGTTTCCTGGCTAGCAATACACATAACAAATGTGTCATTTACCTATTTTCTTACCCAAGTCTTTCTTATAAATTATTCTTCGGAGATCAGCACTAGACAGTGTTTGAATGATTTATATAAATATTACATAAGGCTTAATATTACATTACATTTGAATTGAGCAGAATACATTAAAGTCAACAAGTGATTACATTTAGGATGACTTGTTTATTGTATGCAGCTAAATAGCATCATTAAATGTAGTTCACAGTTTAGCAAAGAAAGATTTATCTGAGCTATTCCTAATCTGCTGTAAATCTAATTAGACTGGTCTATATAACCACTCACCCAACAAATTGTTGATGACAGCAAAAACATACACCGTTGTTGGAGAATAACTTGTTTCAAATGTTCAAGCAGCCCTCTGGCAGAAATTGCTGAATTAGCACAACTGACAGTTTACTGACGGTGCTACTGGCAGGGAACATACAGTACTTATACTCTAGTCGATATGTTTAAATTGATTTGTTGTGCTTTCAAAACAGTGTTTGAGGTATTTTCTTCCATACACTGCTAAATCTCAACATGGCCAAGATTAGCTGGGTTTTGAAACGGCTTTATATTTGCAGTTCAGTGTGTTTAAAGAATCAACAACAATTGGGCTCCTTATAAATATCTGCAGTCCAAACTGAAAGAGACTTCAAGCTGTGAGGAACGTCAGCATGACGGCAGGTCTGGGTGCTCCCAGATCTTATTAATGTGCGTGGAAGTCTCAATTTTCACTACATCTACTTCATGTATGGCCTCAAGCAACACTTCAACAGCTCTCTGATAGCGATCACAAAGGAACATTGAATATGAGATCATCTGAGGATTGGGTGTGGAGTCGTATCTATGAAATAGATGGATCCAGACATATGGGTAAAACTTGTCAAAATGCCTCAATTTAACTTGCATTAAAGTTACAAAGGACAAGAAGGTGAAATGTCTTCAAAGTTCTGTCACTTTAGAGTATTGTCGTTTAAATGGATAAACATACATTTTAATACCAACATACTCTTAAAGGATCTTAATGTAAGACAGTTTACGTTTCCATTCCTATATTACTGCAGTGAACATTCATGAACATGAAGAACCTTGAGTGCATCCACTGTAATGCACTATGAAAGCAGTATGGTAATAATGTACTGTGCTGTTGCAGGTTGCTCACATTTTAATAGAAAACCAGTGACGGCTGAGGTCTTACACAATAATGAAGGTTGATGCAACTTAGGGCAACAGTGACATTTTCCATTGCAAAACACTGACTGATGGGAACAATTGAAAGGAGCCAATGGGCTTTTCATCTAAATTCAAAGAAAACCAAGTTTAATTGAAATGCATTCCTTTACCATCATATGCATAACAGATTAAAGAACGCCATCTTGTGCCTGAATACTGAAACTGCACTTGTACATAACCATTACTGCAACTCTGTTCATACCAGTACCTGCATGACTATGTTCAGGGTTAACCATTTTCCATGAACACATCACATATGAACCTGCATTTGGTTGGAAAGTGATGCTGCTATTGGTGAAGATTAGTTCAGAAATATAAGACAGGTTTAGTGGATAGAGATCTTGAACACAATTTTAACTCAGTTTTTTCCACTGTCCTTTACAGATTTAAAATAGCACTGGGTATTTTTCCTGCAATCAACTATGGTATTTTTAAGGCACGATATATTTAAAAGATATCAGCATTATAAACCAGAAAGAAAATATGAAATGTATTCCTCCATTTAGCTGTTATTTGCAAAGATAGAAGCGTATGCACACGAGTAAACCCATCAGTGTTGGAATGCATACAGATTTCATATCGCCATTTTATTTTACCAGTTTATTAGTTCTTTAAAAAAAAAAATCAGATTCATTGCTCATGTATGAAACCATTTCTCAATAGATTCAATGTGGACTTGAAGCGAATGAGTACTGAAGATCAGAGCCGGTAAGGACTACAGGCTTACTACAGAACACAAGTACCACTGGTAGTCAATACCCAACACTTTAAGTGAATATCATATTCAATTCACATCTTTAAAAAATGTCTTGCTTTGTAAAGCTCCATTAGCCTGCTGATTCATTTGTATGTTTAACACTGTAAAATTAAAGACTTTCATTTCCAACATATGGTCAAAGCTGAGCAACTCTATTCATCCTTAATTGGTATTATTATAAAGGGATACTTTCTCAACAATGGACACTTGAACTTTCTTCTAGGCCACTTTAGGTGCCTGGTACACTTTGATAGATAAAGAACAAGTTTTCAAACAACAAACAACCAATTTCAGGCACTATAGGGTTCGTGTGTAGAGTAGACATATTTTGAATATACAGTCATGACAGATGGCAACTCTGCATTTTCCTATGAGCACAAACCGATGATTAACATTACAAATAAAAGTAAAGCAATACATTACATGTCCATATCCATGTAGTAAGTAACGTATTACATAGTGGGTAGATGCAGTGAGTTCGATAGACAGTACACAGTTTCAGAGTGAGGTTAGGTTTCCACCGCAATGCTCTTCCTGCTCGGACCAGCCCATTATTTAGCTCTTGACAAAAATGCTGATAAGACATTTACAGATGTAAAAAAAAATTGAAAAACCAAAATATACATCAGTATATTTAAATAAAAGACTGTAAGACTGGAAGGAACAAAACATTGGAACACTATGTAACTGAGCAAGGTCCCACCCGCTGATTATTATATGCCTCCACCTGTGAAATGTTGGAGGCTACTCTCTCCTGTGTTACTGATCTGTGTTGAGGAGCAGAAGACGTGGAGCATCTGCAGTCTGAGGGCCAGGTAGAGGAGGAACATGGTGGTCGCTTGTTGTTGGTCATGCTTCATTGAGAACCTGTAAATGGTAAAGAAGATAGCGACTGAAAAGTAGCAAAAATGTGTTAACAGTTTAAAGTGAACTTGAATCAAATATAAAAAGTAACATTAATAATATTTACCTTTCTAGCGAACTCTGGCAGGACGAACGATGCTTTGTGAATTTCAGGGTTGTAATATTTAAGATTCATACTTTCCATTTCTTCTTTTGATAATGCTGTCATTGGTTCCAGGAAATTTGTTTCCTAATTCAAAAGTGAAAGTGCACTCCAGTCATTTGATGGACATTACCAATGACCATGAAAACAGCAGACATGTTTATTGTGCTTCAGATTAGGTTTTACAATAAGCAAGTGGCATGTAAAGTCTATCAGACAACAATCAGGAAATTGGCGGATGGAAAATGAAGACTGACTCGCACACTTACAGGATTTGTACTGCAGAGCATGAATCCAATTTGGCCACTGGGATAAGTTGGGATGGTGGTGTAGGCGTAGTCTACCACAGGGAATAGGGTCTTGCAAAAGGTTCGCATCTCCTTTATCAGCTCCAAATGGAGCCATTGACACTCTCCTGTGAATATGACAAGAGAGCGGAATAAGGGCATGTTCATTTCCTGCCCTGTTTCTTGTAGGTGGACGACTATATTAATGGGAACACGACACTTTGAGGTGTGTAAAAAAACAAGCCATCACCAGTATTTTAAACGTACCTCAACTTCTACTCAAGTCAGCACTTTACTAATTTACATAGACATTTTCTTACTGTTAACACAAAACTTGGGTGAAATATAAAATTACCCTGCGAACAAAGAATTCCACCGGTTCTCAGCGCTGTCTTCATCAGCTGATAGTAAGACTCCTTGAACAAACTCTCAGCAGGTCCTGCAATACAATCATAACTCAGAATTGGATTGCCTAAATGAACAGTTGTGGCAAACAACGGTGTTGTTAGCTTACCAACAGGGTCTGAGGAATCGGTTATAATGATGTCAAAGGCATCCTGGTTCTTCTTCATGAATTCAAAGCCGTCTCCAACATGGAGGGTGAGCTTGGGACTGTAAAACCCTTTGGCCATCCCTGGGAGGAACTTCTTCGACGCATTAATGACATCCTTCACAGAAGACATGGAAATGAGCAGTGATTACTTAGGTGCTGTATTAGGATACAATTATCCTTTTACACAGAGAATCTGTGAATTGACGATGTTCGGCATCATAATGCTGTTCGTAAAGTCTCTCTGGTGATAGATGGGGGATGTTAGCATGGTCACCGAACCAGTCTGACAGTTTGTTGCAATCATATTAGAGGCTTCTCAATACTCAAATTTCCCCTCCTCGGTCCTCCGGTAGTGACCCGGAAATGAATTTCAGCGCGCCATTTTGAAGGACGTCTCATTTCTCGAAATGCACACCGAGGACCGAGGATCGAGCGTCGAGGAGGCTCTCTGGAGGAGCTATAACCGAGGATACACTGATGGTTCCTCCACGGCTCCTCCGCGGATGCATTTCCGGGAACGGTGGAGGCGTGACGCACGGCCGGACTTATCTCAGCCAATGACAGCTCTGCATGCATCCTCTGGATATTATTTTAGAAACGGCTTTCATCGCGTTGCGATGTTTACAGTGAGAACAGCTGTGAGGTCCGTGCAGAAAGCAGAGCAGTGTACAATATCACTCAGTATAACAGGCCTACATTACTCTCTTTATTTGCTGTAGTACAAAGAGTCGATATTTTTCTAAGACCATTTAGTGCGTCACATAATAAAATACACAACGGCTGTAGCCTGATTATGCTTTAGGAGCTGTAAGTGTGTGTTGTAGGCAGTGTGTGTTGTAGGCAGTGTGTGTTGTAGGCAGTGTGTGTTGTAGGCAGTGTGTGTTGTAGGCAGTGTGTATGTGTGTGTGGTACAGTATGTAGGTGTGTGTTGTACAGTGCGTAGATGCGGCAGACAGACGGGTCTCAGTTGGTTTGGTGTCCTCTGCTTACTTTTAATTTAATTTCAAATCTTTATTTATACAGATAAATCCCATTGAGATCATTGATCTCTTTTTCAAGGGAGACCTGCTCAAGTAGTTCCACATGAAACATAAATAGAACAACAAAAGGACATCATACAGCATCATTTACATAATTATCCACATAAACAGGTACCAACAGCTTCCGATTGACAAGCATCCAACCGAGCTTTAAAAACATTTAGTGGCACCAGATTGTTCAGTTTCCATTTAATTTGCAGACTATTCCAAGACAGAGGAGCTGCACATCTAAAAGCTGTCTTCCCTAAGACAGTCCTAGCAGTTGGCACATTTAATAAAACCACAGCATGCGATCTCAGGCAGTAGCCACTTACAATTCTCCGTGAGATCAGGGAGCAGATATAAGATGGAAGTTTCCCTAACATGGCTTTGTATGTTAGGGAACTTCTTATATCTGCTCCCTGATCTCACGGAAAATTGTAAGTGGCTTATTATTATTATTACAAGTTAATACAACTTTTGGCCCGTAATTTCAATTCCCCATTTCAGCGACCAAAGAGAGGGGGGGGGATATATCCAGTCTCTGATTGTGTTACGTTATTATGAGAGTGCTGAGCTCTCATACTTTAAATTGTATATATTTATATAAATATATTTGTGTGTGTGTGTCCGCATCTGTGCCTGTTATTGTCTCATTATACCGCACTCTCAATGAATTCAAAGTAAATATGTGGGGGAACAATGTTCAGCTGATCTAACAGAGATTATAAAATACAGCACTATGACAAAACACTCGACAGCTGATGCAGCTGTTGCCACGTAATAATGAACGGACATCGCTTTAATATGACCACTCAGAGGAGAGGAGTTCTCATTTCTTTAAACGTCTGCTGCTTCCCCTCCTCTCTCCTCGGTCCTCCGCTCGCATCTCCTGTGGGCGGGTCTAAGTCTCGAGGAGGGGAGTCGAGGAGGGGAAATTTGAGTATTTAGAAGCCTCTATATTGTCTGTGGCAGGGCGCCGGCTGCTGGTGTGAAGGGAGTGGCTCGGCCGGAGGCCAGACAGCTGATCGGAATCAGGTAATCAGAGACGGAATAAAAGCATGTCGTAACCTGGTTCTGGTCTGTTTTGCAGTAGGCGGGATCCTGGAAAGTCGCCAAAGGACCCACACGGGCAACGTTTGAGACCTGTGTATACTTTGTTTTGGAGTTAATAAAACGCCTGTGATCAACCAACCTGCTCTTTCCGTCCCTATTTGAACCCTGTGTGAGCGGAGAGGCTCACAGTCATATATATATTTTGGTCATTAAAAGTAAGGCGTAATTAAGATCATAGACTAAATGAAGCATAGAATAAACCTCTAACTTGCTTGCTAGGTAAGTTAGCAAACTTTTAAGCTTCCAAATATGTACTTGTTCGATGCTGTGGCTGCTCTGCAAATCACCACCGAAAGGTGGGTGATAAAGAAACTCCGTAAACAGCGGTTTGTACATAAGTGTTATTTGTTTGCCCGGTGTCCGCTTTGAGACAGTTGTTGTTGCGCTCTGCGCCTCCGCAGAATCATACACTGGTGTGAGACTTGCTGTCAGAGCCTCCTCAGCTGAAATAGTTTTCCACAGGAAGAAGTGAAATCAGTAAGGAGACATCTCTACTCTCCCAGGGAACGTCAACACAGATCTTACTTTACTTTAAAAAAAAAAAAAAAAACTGTTGAATGATGAATTGATTCTTTTTTTTGGGCATTATAATATAGGAAAGTGCAGTGCCTATGCCCTGCTGCGAAGTGGGGGGCAATGTTTGTTTTTACATTTTCTATTTGAGGTTTAATCTCCAAATTGCATATCTTGGTTCCCCAAAATACACCCGTCAAGTGTGAACAGGTGCACTGTTCTCAAGATGTACATGTTACTTGTGTTTTTTTAGAACATTTGTCAAAAGTTATACACAATTGGCCATCTCAAAAAAGGGTGGGGACATGTCACCAGCGTAAATGACACTTATGATTGAAAGTAGTGTTGCTCTCACCTCATCTATCTCACACATAACCACCGACTCCACCAGCGGATTCTTCACCACTTCCCGTAGCACTCCGCCATCTCCACCTCCAATAATCAGCACCTGAAAAAAGGGAAACAGACTATTAGCACAGGAAACATGACTCAGCCATACTGCAGATAGATTAATGTATCAACAAATCTGAGCCATACCTTCTTGGGGCAGGGGTGACTGCACAAGGGAAGGTGGGCTATCATCTCTTGATAGGAGAACTCATCCCTTTCTGTGCACTGAATCACTCCATCCAGCACCAAGACATTCCCATAGGTTTTACTGAAAAGTAATGTTGCAGCAAAGTGAGAGGCACATTACATTTGAAGCTAGTGTAATGAACTAATCACGAATATTTACATTACTTAAACAGGATAGAGATATTAGAGACAAGATATTGCTAGCTTGACTGACCCGTTAACGTTACTCCTCCTAGCCAAAAACTATAAATACTAACCACCTTGCCTACTCATCCGTATTATGTCTTTCTTTTCTACCTAGCTAGTGTGCTTGCAAGAAAAATGTGTTTAGGGGCAAACTGAACAATAACTCAGCTAAGCTAATAGTTGAAGAAACTTCTCCCGATCCCAGGAGCTTCAGGTTGCTCATTCATTGACGACACACGCTAACAGCTAGCAACCAAGTTTTTTAGCTGAAAGTACTCACCTCTTGAAAACCATAACATCTTGAAAATCGGATTTCTTGTGGTAGAGGACCTCTTCTACTTGAAGGCTCATTGCTTGCCCAGGCCATAGCGCGCATGATTCAGTAAACCATCCATCTTTTATGTGCTCCATGACAGAACTGCACGGCCAGAAATAATACTAACGTGTGGGTAATGTGGCAATGTGAGAGAGTAACACTTTCACGTTGTCTGCCAGCTAAACTGATGCCTTGGCCCACAACCAATGGGATGCTGCCGACGTCAGTGATCTGTCGTTATGCAGACCAATGGAGTGCCGTTATAAATAGTTTCCTGTACATTTTGTCTGACTTGAGACCGCAAGACCCGCCCACCGCCTCTAGGCTGTTCTCCTCACACAACCATGCTGTTGTAGCCAGAGCCATATAATAGAAGAGTTACGACAACGGAAGTCCAAAAACGGTTATCGTCACGTGGTTCATGTAGAAGAGGATATATATGCCTATATATGATATATGGCTCTGAGCTAAACCAGTGCTGGTGTACCAATGAAAAACCAAGAAAAGGCAAACATTCGTTTATTGTATTATATTATAAAGGCGTTTATCAAAGTAATTAATATTTTAGACACATAAAAAAACAACACAACAATGTAAACTAAAGCCTATCCTCTTTGTAACATATTATTCAAATATGAACTCAAAAAACTCAAGGACATTTTCAAGAACTAACTGTAGGTGATTCAGTACTTCTTTAAAGTCCCCACTCAAACCCGTGTTGAAAGATAGTAATTTAAAACGGAAGGAAAAGTACAGCTCTGGGTAGAACATACGCTTCATCGTGTGTCGCCTATAATATAATGAATGGGTACAAACAATGGTTAAAAAATACTTCATAGTAAAGAGCCAGTGTCTGTTCATTTGCAGGATCACAAGTAAATAATGTAGCCAGAGGCTAGTTTTATTTTGGAATTAAACAGCCTTCTGTTATACATTCAGTTGTTAAAAGTGATAAGAGCTTTTTAGAGGTCAGTGCCATGTTGACCTCAGCCATGAAACTGTACTTTTTGTTCTTGTGTTTTGATGTGGGTGCATATTTTTAATATGTGGTTATGTATTGTTTTATGAAGCCTTTCTTCTAAATAAGTACATATTTGTAATTTGATTACCTAAGTGTTTCCAATGTGAGCGTTTCTTTGTTTAATTTATTACACAAGGGAGGCACCGATACATTATAGACAACATTATGTCCAAACATATAAATTAATCACAAAATGAATACAAGAAGTCAAACCTGTTAGGGAGAGTCAATTCAAGGCAAGGTCCCTAAATGGCCTTGAATTGAATCCCTTGGTGAGTAGATGGCGCCGTGGATGGCTGCCGGGTCGCTAGTTCATCTCCAACTTTGCATTTAATTGCATTGTTGAGGAACCTTCGACCAAAGTTTTTAATTCATTACATAACTACACCGTAGTTGTGTATATGATATGACAATAAACCTTTTGAATCTAAATGGCAACAGTTCAAAGTAACAGTGAGGAAACATGATTTCAATTCACAGGGTTAAACTGGTAAGCGATTAATAGCAGAATGTGCTCACCCTGCAGGAGTTTTATTTGAAATATTGACTGGCCGCTTGACATAATCCATTAGAAAATATCAGTGGTTATAGTTTTGAAGAAAGGTGTCATTGTTATACTGCATCACACTGCTCAACCATATGTAAGTTTATTAGGTTTCATTCATAATCATTATCTAAAAAGGCAAATAATTGTTCCTCTAAAATTGTCTTTAATAAAGAGGTCTGTGCTTCCACATATTTACAGGGCAAACTGTTTTACAAATGGAAGAAACTTGAGTAGGAAAATCGTTGATTGTTGAAATGAAAAATGAAAATAAAGGGATCATTGTTTCTGCAAGATAAGAAAAAGTTTTAAAATAAGAGAGAATATGGCATCAAGGAGAGTTTATCTTTTGGGCCAGTTGTGCTTGAATCCTCTGTAGAGAAGAAGAAACAGACAGAATGGTTAACATACTTTGATGAATGTATTAGTGAAGGCAATGAATCTACTGCACTGTAAATGTTTACCTGTCAGATTTCCCAGCCATGTACGACATACTTTTTCCACCTCCAGAATTAGATTTTTGTCCCTTGGGTTTTTTCTGTTGGGATTAAAACATTTAAATTAGTCATGCACGCATAAAAAAAACATATTGTCAATAAAGAAATGAATCAACAAACAAATACCTTTTTCCTAAAATCATTGGATTGCCGGTTTGGATCGAACTGAGTGTTGTCCGTTGGTTTGTTACCTGTAAAAATAAAGTAGGTGCCATGAGTTTGATTCATTTTTATTATTATTATTTAATATACAAAGACCAACTGAAGAGAAAAAATAAGTGATGTGATGACAATAAATAAAATATATACATACCAGCAAAGACTTTGAGGTCTGACTTTCTGTAGTCGAATGGCTTGAAGGGTTCTGGTGGAGGTGGTTCAGTCTTCTCGGGCTTCTCTGCAGATTTCAATAGCTTCTTACTCGGTTTGGGAGTCGACTCACCAACGTCACTGGCGACCCTCTCTCTTTTCGTTCCGGGTTTTACAGATTCCTAATGAAATTGGTCAGCAACATTATTTTCTGTACAATACTTCCAATAAATACTCTAATGATTGTATTCTGTTTCACTAACAAAACACATCCAGTGATGGGACAAGAAGTATGGGGGGAGGCAGTTCTGAGGTACAACTAATCAAACAGCTCTCGTTTTGATTATTTTTGATTTATTTATTTTCTGGGATTGCTCTATTTATGGTGCACCATTACATTGAATTTAATAACATACACCAAGGTAATCTTAAGGAATTAAAGGAAATTATAGAGAATAATAATAATGGATACTACCTTCAAACATTATGATTATCTTTACTGCATATTTGACAAATATATTTATTTGTACCAAACAACAGTTTAATAGTGTATTGGCCTGTGATCGAGATAATTGCAGTTAATTAAGTCCACATTGTTTGACTCTTTAGTGAGGAAACATTCTCAAATAGAGAACCTAACCTTTTGCTGCCATCTAAAGGTTTGAATGCTCACTTGGCTTGACTCTCTGCATCATTAAATTGTTGTGTCTCTGTTAATTGACACTGTGTGTTATTCAACGACCTGTGGGTGAGTGCCACGTGAAGTTAAAATCCCTACAATGTATTAACTTGCTCAATAAATGGTTTGGTTTAAGACATGTGAAAAAGACTAGAACATCATTACACAATTGATATAATGATACAGTAATTTAAAACACTTTTCTTTTATGCAAGTTGGAGCATAGTGGAGTGTGTGTCAAGTCTGTTCTTAGTTAAAGTAAAGTGTTCTACAATGGTAGTTATCCAGCTAGAAGGTCAGTTCAGGGCATGCTTCATATTACATTACTACAATCACAGCATAAGATGTGAATGACTGAGGGTTTAAAATTAGATTTAGTGGCCAAACTATTTCTTTTTAAACATTAGTGCAGCATACTGCAGTTGCAGTACATACTTAAAGTAAAAAGAAGAGTATGTGATTTAGAACACAGCCATAATATAAGTGCACAAGAAGCTTTGGAAATCTTTCTTTCAAACTGAAAGAAAAAAAAACTTCACTGGGTTAACCCTAACTACCAAAGTGGCAGCTGAAACATAGAATGATCCGATCAGAGACAATTGTTGCCTGCAGTTGGCAGGTTGACGAGCGTTACTTTCAAGTGCTGCTGCCAACTATAATAAATGCCACCAGACAGCGCGAACATGCTTGTTTGATGCCGCCTTCCCAACTTAAAACAAACTTTCACTTTTCACTTGAGCCTTCATCACACAATGGATTTCTGTGGAGCACGTCATTACTGAGCACAATACAACTCTACTCAAGGTATCCAACTCAAAGCCCATGCATGGTTAGAGGCGAGAGTCAAACAGAGGGGACCATTCTTTCTGCTGCACAGTCTCAAGATTTTTGTCAAACTGAGCATTTAAAACTGAGAGGAAACACCATATGGTGGCAAGAGCGCATAGAAGTAACTTAGTAGGAGGGCGCCAAGCAATACCCTCGACAGACGGAGCTAAAAGGAAGTGGGGCTTTTAAGCAGAAAGTAGATATTGTTGTTCCCCAGGAGGGAAGAAAGGTGTTTGATGAGCAGAGGACAAGTCTTTAATGCTGCAATCCCACTATGTATTTTTCCCCAGGCACATCATGTGACAAATATATATTAAAAGGCCACTGAAATGCCAGTTCTGCAGACTGGCAGCAGTGGTTCAATCGCTTGTGAGTCACTGTATTTATGCAGGAATACCAGCAAATGGGGGGCATTGAAGAGGGTTAAACTGTCTATTACAGCACTATCTTTAATATGCTGAGCCAGGCTCTTGGGTGAATATAACACTTGTGATTGTCACGGATATGTATCTTCCCAACAGGGACATCAAAAGTGAAGTTGACTGTGTAGCCAATCTAAAGTGGGTGAGGGGAAATGTAAGCACAAAAAAGCACATGACTTACCGCTGCCTGCTCGCGAACAGTGGGAACGTTCTGGAGAGACTCCTGGTAGCTCTGCTTAGCCTTCTTTCTCTCATCTGTGGATATGTTGCATGCAAATACAATGAGGGGCGTTTCATTGAAAAAGGTGTACATTTGGAGCATATTCGACCTCCATTACCTGCCACTTTCTTTGTGAGTTCCTTTTTTTCTTCCTTTGCTTTTTTTTTGGCATCCAACTCCTTCTGTTGCTGCTCAATACTCTGCAGCTTCCATCTTTTACTTATCTGTAAATGTGAGATGGTACAGCTATGAATATTCAAATATTTAGCTAAGAGGAAAAGACAAATAGGTCTAGAGGTTGATGGATGGATGGAGTTTTTACATACCTCAAATATTTTGGAAGATGGGTCAAACTTGGCATTCTTGCTGATGTGCACATTGTTGGAGGGCAAGTACTAAAATCACAAAGAAGATAGTTGAATGCCGTGTGTCTGTTTAAATAAAAACGCAACATTACTGAGGGGTTATCGCTGGTCATCTCTTACCATTCTGAAAGGGTTTTCAAAAGACTCAATGATGCGCCTGGCTTTCATTTGACCCACAGGAAGGGATTCTGGGTCATTCTGTGTTTCCGGCTCCTTTAAAAAAAAAAAACGCAGAGTTATCACATAAGGTATCACATTTGTGTGAGAATCGGCCAAGGTAAGGTAACTAAAAGTCTTTACCTCAAACTGTGTGATTTTAGCTTTTGCTACAAGGCCACTTGTGTTTTCTTCATCAACATCC